AAAAATTGAAATTTAACTCATGAAAATGGTCATAACCACAAACTGTTATCAGGAAATCGATATTGTCTTGTGTATTTGCATTTTAAAGATACTTAGTACAAATATACGTCAGACAGCAATTTAAATATCAATATATTTTTACTGCAGGGATGTTTGCCTATAAAGTGGTTATCACTGGAGTCTGTATTGGATCAAATATTTACAAGCAAAAGTGATGTATGGTCATATGGTGTTGTTTTGTGGGAGATATTCTCACTGGGTAAGATAAGAAAATATATAAATGAAATATTTAAGACTCTATAGAAAATAATGTACCATAACATTGTACACTACCTAAACTTATGTGATAATAAATTACTGTCATTTAAAAGTAGTATTAGAAGAAAATGTCCACAGCACATTTATTATATAATTTGATCCGCATTGACTATGTTCTGATTTCCAGGAGACAAACCGTTCCCAAATATATCCGGCAATGATTTCATACGCAGAGTGCAACGAGGTCTAAGATTAAAACAACCAAAAGAAAGTGATAGTGAAATGTAAGTTACATTGTACCACCGGCCTTGTTCGTTTGTTTGCTGATCCGTTTGTTCTTTCATACATTATTCCACACACCGTATTGGTGTATTGTATTACACATTTTCATTCGCAAATTGATTGTTTGTTTTCACACTATATCTTATTGCAAATATAGCTACAATATTATGATGCGGTGCTGGGCAGAAGATCCCTCTAAACGTCCAACATTTGATGTTATTGAAATGCAACTTGAAAACAAAGTTAATAAAATCCATGAGGTATGTACTGCCACAATTCTCAAATTTACATCAAATTTATTGACGAAAACTATATGCTTATCGAATGACATATATGAAATTGTCAAACTCAATACATTCAATGGCACATTACATGAATGACTGACTCAACTAATTCCTGTGAAGATATATTGGCAACTTGCTTGAGATATATGCATAAATACATACATACAAACTGATAAAATGTTGTCTATTTTACAGGGATACCATCATCTACCGAAAGAAAGAAATACAACTGGTACTAATGTTTAAACAATGATATTAAATACTGTTAAAAGTCGAATGTATTTCAAGATATCTATAGTTTTTTGGACATCTATTATAATTACTAATATTAGCTTCGACTCTCTCTTATGAGTAAATCAAAAAGCTTATTTTGTTTGTTGCGATTGTTGGGCAGCTTATATTTTATCATTATTCTCACATATGTGAAAGTAATTTCTCTGATATAATCTCTAATATATAACTTTTAGGACTTTTTCAACGCTTTAGGATATGCAATCGCGCTAAAATAATTCCATGCAAATATGTTTTTGAAGTTTATTGGATTGCATTATTGTAAACTTAAATTTAAATTAATGTCAAATCACGAAGTTGTTGAGACAAACTTTACTTCTATGTCATGAACATGTAATAGTGTTTCAATAACTGTTAATTTTCTTACATGCGGGTGAAACATAATTATGTAAAGTTGTTACACTTTATTAGGTTGATGAAATGGCATGTCTGTACATGTGTATTCTCTCCACTATTGCCGCAATTGATAATTAGAATTTTATATTAGGTTTTTAGGTTCATTTTTTTCAACACTAGGAAAAACGCGCGACGGTCAAATTCCCGTCGCTATCAGATATATGATTTGATACGGCACACAGAAAAGACGTATAACTGTCGTCAGTTCTTCAGGAAACCTATTCGGTTGAGAAGCACTGCTTAGTTTATGTTTTGCTGATGACAAGGTAATTTAGTAACCTCAATAAAATTATTGCACCCAAGAAAAGTTCACATTGAAAAAAGTTGGATTTCTTTAGCCGGCGTTTTGCGACTATCATAATAAAATATACATGATAATAATCACAATAACTGTCTTGTCTTTATATATTTATACAAGTACTTCACTTTATTAACTAACTATGGAAATTCAATAATGTGAATATTATTGTATCCCATAATATATACTAAGGTAATACTAGATAAATTACAAGAGGGTATTTACCTATATTTATCTGTGCATGATGTATGTTTACACTATAAATACGTTAGTAACAAAACAATGTGTTTCCTTATAATGAGTAATGCATTGATAATAGTGATTTGAGCGACCGCATTTGTCCTACATTGAGCTCAGTCAGGTTGCTTTTAGGGAAACGAGTACGAATGCAATGAGTCTGTTGATAAATTTAAAATTAGTAACATGTTTAGCTTTATATTATTAAGTCTTAGAAATACATATATGATTTAAAATAAATCGGTTAATATATTTCGCTGACAAGAAGTTATATTCCCCAGATGTTAAATGACTTGATATAATCTTTGAGTGATGTCGTAATGGAATAAACCACCACATTCATCAGAAATTCAACATTGAAATACATTAAAAGCCTAAAAATGTATACACACGCATCGTTCAGGTGAAACCTGTTTGCGCATGCGTAGACTCCTATTCGATCTGTACAATTTATTATGCAACAAAATCTGTCGATGGCTAGATATTATGTACGTGTGTTTTGGTGATTGTTGAAGAATTGTTTTATTAGCTGAGAAATGATATAATTTGCGAAATAAGGCAATTTTATGTAATTAGCATATGAATAGGTCTGAGTACATGAACCTTGGTTATCAACCTGTATCGACTGACACAGTGAGTTTAGTGTTGACTTGACTGCGTGTACACACTTCACATATGTCAAAAGTTGAATTATCGTCGGAATAACACATTGATTTAATTCAAAGATGTTTGGCAACTACGAAAAATAGAACAACAAAAATTGATAATATTTATTTCATAAAAAACGATGTATGTATTTCCTCCTAAAATGAGTGATGCATTAATCGCTAACTTCTCTCATATCAGCTCGATGTGTCATCTGCACGATTAACAACTACAAAACGTTGACCCCACGATCATGTCTATATATAGACAAAGAAGTTTTTATACAATTACAGTCACAGTTGCATTGTTTTTAGTTATAAAAGCAATACTAATTGTCTGATTTTGTTGGTCTATTCCACCAGAATATTTACTGTATTCTAAATCCCATGGAATTTAGGTTTGAGTAAATGTTATTTTTTTATAACGGTGACGTTGTATCGATTGATCCAAATAATACTCACTAAATAGAACTATGTTGTCGACAGGTTTGGGTTTTTGTCACAATTATGTTAAAAATACAACAACAAAAAACAAATAGAAGAAAATCGTAAGAATATTCAAATTATACAATTTTCTCTTATGTGCGTAAACAAAAAAAAAATTATATATAAAAAAGTCTCAAAATTCAAAATACGTAACAGCAACCTCATCTCATGCTAGTACATATTATTCAACACATATCATTTCCAGCTGTTTCTTCAACAACGGGAACGTTTGAATATACATTTTTAATCTTCAAATAGTCATTCTGGTAAAAAAAATGAAATTGATATAACAGTATATAATATTAATATTTCTTTTTGGAATTGTTTATGTTACATACGTACATTATTTATGCTGAGTATAATTAGTAGTCGGCAACCAATTTCATGAAATGGTGGCCGCATGGCCGGGTATTCTTTCAAAAAGAAAAAAAGAAAACTGTCGAAAAATAATCGTACAAAATACATAATATAAATTGCAAATCAAGTAAAAACTAAAAATGTATTTGCATATCTGAGATAAGAAATATATGTGAAATTAACAGGTAGCTCGGTTAAATACATTTATATAGTTACGAAAAAAGTACAAGTAAACGTTCATTGCAAATGTCTGATGGACAATTCGTAAATAAATAGTCAATGGATCTCAAATTCCACACAAGATTACGTGTATAATTACAAAGAACACAGAAAAATGTGTCATATTCACTCATAGCAACATGACTTTCACTTATAACAACAATGTTACCGCGTGAATTAAATTGGCCGACATCTTGCTGGTTACCAAGACAGCATGCATACATATTTTATCTTGGTGGTGGTGTCTCCGCGCGTATGTATTAACTTCTTCGCGCGTTTCTGGTCTGGACCATCGTTTCCATGATATATTTGGATATTTCGATGTTTTGAAGGCTGCATTGTATTGTATGTTTTCATTGGATTTTACTGTACTGTGATGCAATTTGTGAAAACATTTGTTCTGATATTTTGAGTTTAAGTGATCACATCGAGGCAGATATAGGCAACACAAAGTAATGTACTATGTGTAAACATACACGTAATCGTAGAACTACAACTCGTGATGCGAGACATACATGACCTTACTTGTTCGTACAGTAGTTATTACACCTTGTGTGATACATAGCGACCAGATTGAATAGACGTTAGGTATACCGCTCATAGTTTACTCAAATTGTTAAGTTGTTTCTGATATTTCGTGTGAATGACCTTCAACCTTTAACAATCAACTGTCATGACATGACCAACAACACAGCGTCGTGTGTATGACTGGCCGCCTGTAATATAGGCCGGTCCAATGTTTACGAAATCGTTGAAATCTTATATGTGGATGGATATCAATATAAAGCAAAGGCTAAATTCTGCATGCCGTAAACACAAAATAAGTTAACTGTGGCAAAATAAATGTAGTGTATGTACTTTTACGATAGAAAAAATGATCAGTGAAGAATAAATAAATAAATATATATATATATACAAATAAACGATACAAACGTTTCACTGTGTACAATGTCACGTTATCAGAGCATATGTCTGTATATATAAAAAAAATAAGACATTCTCACACCAAAGTCAATACATTATTCATGACATGGTTCAAAGTCTGGCTAAGATAAAGAGAATACGTACCATCAGGCGACAATGTGACTCGCGGCTCGCTGAAGGTAAGCACACTTTTATACTATTTTATATTATTTTACGAACGTTTTCACAATAACACAAATGTGTACAAGTTCTATGTTGTCATCTAACAAGGCATACTAATACTTTATTTTGCAGTTGTACTGCCCGTGTAGTTACATAGGTATTAGGCAACGTACAGAGACACGAGCTGACTACAACAAACGATCACTGTTATTTGTATCTATAAGTCATATAAAGTCAGCTTTGTCGATTTATATAACACATGTTCTATACAATAATTGTTATCGGACTGTGGGAAAGTCACTTGCTTCGTGTAGATTATTTGGGGAATATTATAATAAGCGTTTTACCCCAAAAGTGTGTACAGCATAATATATGACGTTTCAAATAAACAGAATGTAATGGCATTTCATTTCTGCTAGTATTTACCAGTTTCATAACAGTCTGCAACAACACAATACAAATGACTGCCTGTGCTCATTGATCGTAGATTGGAGCTATCTGCATTACAAAATGAGTTTTTGGTGAGTACAAATAGTGACTAGTGTCATTAGCCGAACTCGGATATAGCAATGACATACCATAAAACGTAAAGAAAAACGTAAAAGGCTCCTTATCGCGAACAATGTAATGTAAATATTGATGTTTACATTTATATCTGACTTTGTTGTATTATCCTTTTTTTCTAGCGAATGAACAAGTTGTTGTCAGTGACATTAGGCAATCAGGGAGTCGCATGTAATACAGTCGATATCAATATATCCGCTTAAGTGATAATAACGAAGTAAAC